AACCTTTCTGACCCTCCGTCAAAAAAAAAAAAAAAAAAAAAAGCAATTACCCCCTGAACCTAATAACGGGTTGTGCCACCCTTGGCAGCGATAACTGAACTCAAGCGTTTGCGATAATTGGTGATGAGTCTTTCACATCGCTCTGGAGGTGAAGAACCTCTATAATGTCCCAGGCTCAGCAGAGCTCATTCCCAACATATAAAGAAGTTAATTTCTCAGTCAAAACGTATCGCTTTGACTCTTGACTTCAATTACTACTTTCCGCTCCAATCATCTCGAGTGTTCAGTGTAAGGTGGTAATCTCAGCTGTTTTTGTCTTTTCTTAGTCTTGGCCGTATGACAATGTTTGATATTATCACCACTTCCAGGCTTTACGCTGTCATTGACACAACCACCATTAAAAAACGGAAAGAGGAAACTCAACCATGAGGGAAAATTGATGGGAACAATTTGCATTGTGGAATGCCTAAAGAATCTAGTTGTAGTCTTATAAATAGTGACCCTGCAAAATTCACAGTCTTTGTAAAATCTAATATTTTACCAGTAGAGTTATGAAAATGTTTTATGATGTTCTTTAGTGCCGCATTCATAGTGTTTCCTCTTGGTGGCCGCACAAATCAAACCACTTTCCTGCACTGAGTCAACCAAGAGACTGACCCAAGAGCATCCGATCTGCTTTTACAAGATTCCTTTCGATCCGTTAAGTGGTGCCATGTCATTACGTGTCAAATGGTATTAAACTTGCATCTACAAATCAGCCGTGCACACAATGTAGACGAGCTGTTTCTCTCAGCGTGGACTTCTAGCGTAGTGTGTCCACATTAAAGAAAATCTATCATATTAATGATCTTGAGGCCGCTTTTATTATTCATGGTGCAGCAGCACGGCTGTCCAAATAGATTAGCATTGGCCATCCATTCGGAGATGTTATCAAATGTGGACATAGATAATGTCATTTGTCTGCACACTGCATCTCTCTGGAGTTCATTGCTTTCTTTGCTGGCATTCCTGACTTTCCTTGAAACACAGAGAAATTCGACTTGTAATCTACTCCTGAATTCTGTGATTGTCTGGCAACCAGCCCAGGGTGTACCCTGCGTCTCACCCCAAAAACTGGGATCGGCTCCAGTGTGAAATTAAATCAAGATTAGTCTCTGAGCGATTTTATGTTTTGTAAATTGTGATGTCACAATTTGGCTCATTTACATCGAATCTCCACCACCACCGCCACTACCACCACGAAGAGCCTCTTTGCCCATGAGAGAGGCTGGCTTTGAAGGTCTACTATTTTCAAGCACAGTACCACTATCACCTCAAAGGCTAAAGGTAAGCAGAGCTGCAATTTTGACACAGATTAGCATTAGCTAACAAAGTTGCCAGCATTCACTTCAAATAACTGTCCCATTGTAATCGATGTGTCTGCTGCATGCACCACCAGCACAAATGTACAGATCTGATTATGTTGCTGGTCTCTCATAATTCTGAGGTTCATAAATGTACTTGTCGCTCCATCTCCTGCAGATCAATTTCAGTGCTTGGCTACTTTCTGCATCCATCGGATTAGTTTGACTAATTCCCACTCGTGTGGACCTGATTGAAGCTAATGGCTGTTGGGAAGATTCGCAGCCACTCGTGTTCAACAAAAAGGTGAGCTCCCTTTTCTAGTTAGCGCCTAATCAAGAGCAAATTGATGATATTTCCATGAATGCGGGTGACATGACAATCATGTACAAGTGAAACGTGTGCGCTGTGGTGACATGACAACTAAATATAGAGCGGAAATGGAGCAGAGGAAAAGGGCACAGTGAGGACCATAAATATTCAGAGTCCAGCCACACACAGGAGGTCTCGCATGCTGCTCACTTTTATGTGCGGCTGCACTCGCGACACACTTCAATCGAAACAAAACAAAAAAGGAAAGTTCGAAACCTTGCGTCAGTTTCCCGTTCACAATGTCCTCTTGATGCACTTGTGGTCTGACTGAATGTGTGCAAAATCCCATCCCGCAGCAGTGTGTGAAAAGAATGAAGAAGCCAAAGTACTTTTGTGGTTGTGGTGCATGTATGGTACGTTGACCTGCTTCTAAAGCTCCTGACTACACCTGGGACATCATACCTCTCACACACAGCCGAAACACTCTCACACTCACTACTGAAAAAATATTCACTCACGATAAACTATGAAATGCTCTCACATTCGTCTGAAACACAATTGTACGACCCTTTTTGACCTCAAAATGATTTGCTCTCAAACATTACTGAAATGCTCTCATACACACAAATGACAAATGTTGCCCTGAAACACTCCTGAAACACTCTCACATGCATTGCTGAAATGCTCTCATACAAAATGCTGAAAAAGTATTCACTTACATACAATACTGAAACGCCATCATACACACCAGTGGAAAATGTTCCATTGTGAAACAATCCCCCATACACTACTGAAACACTCACATCGAGGATGGTAATGCGCTCACTTCCTATTATTCACTCACCCACACTACTGAAGCACTCTCATACACACTACTGAAAATGTATTAACTCACGCCCACTACTGTAGCGCTCTCATATATCCATTATGAAAAGTATTCGCTGGCCCACTATTGAAACACTCTCATTCACTACAGAAAATGTTTCTCTCACACCCAAACTGAAACGCTCCCACCAACACTGAAATGCTTGCATTCACATGACTGAAATGCTCTCACACACACACACCACTGCAATGCTCTGGCTCACACTACTGAAATGTTCTACACAGGCTACTGAAATTTTTTTCACTTACACACTACAGAAATACTCGCTATAGAGAAATTATTTACTCACACAGTCAAGTTCACAATGCCTTCCGTGCTGGCCTAAACACTATCAGAAGCATTGACCTACATTTACGATGTAGCTACATTTTGAAGACTATTCCCTAACATTTAATTTGATCAAAGAAATAAAACAATTACCTGTCTTTTATACAAGAAAAATCATCTCCGGATAACTATGAATCTACAATATGCCCAGGATTTCCACAAATTGTTGTTGGTGATTATTTCAACGCGGGTGTGGTGTTAAAATTCTTGGGATTCAGCTGTCGAAGGCTGACGAGAAGGTAAAGGAGGAAGAAAATCAAAATAGCTTTGACCCTAAGCTGTCCATCCCCTCCCCTGTCCCCATTTGCAATATCTCCATCCCCCCGAGGGAGCAGTATCCATCATGGAGACGGCAGGGCTGTTATGACACGTTGCGTGGCGCAACTCTCGTGTAAAATGCAGCCCCACGTCCCTGCCGCAAAGTGTCCATCAGAACCTTAATGCTGTTCCCAGTGAAAGTGACAGCCGTGCCTTGCCACATTATTAACTCCAGACGTTTTTATGAGGCTCTGCAATGCACAAGAGTGCTCTGCATAAGATATGTGTCCACCGTGTGGCTGTCGATCATTGGCACCACATCACTCTTGAGTGATGTGGCCCTCTAAATACTACGATTATGTTATAATTATTCACTGAAGGAAGCCAAATACTGTACGGTTGGTTGACAAATTAATCTATTTTGCCACACGTCTCCTTGCGGATGATTCATATGAATGGTATGCCAAGTGTTTATGGTGATAAATGGTGACATGAAACCATACGAAGCTTTGCAGAGGATACTGTAAAGGCACAACCAACTTGACAGGCTCATGACAAATGCATGGGATTTGTCTTAACTATTCATCAAATACGAATGCAGAAATTCATTTATTAGCCTTTCACTGTGTGTTATATTTACACCCAGATCAGAAGTAATGTAACTTTTGAACAACGTTAGAACAGAGTGCTAGCTTTTCCTTGTGCACTGAACGGTCACATAAAGGTTTTCCACAAGCAAATGACAGTCTGAAAGATGTGTGTGTGTGTGTGTGTGTGTGTGTGTGTGTGTGTGTGTGTGTGTGTGTGTGTGTGTGTGTGTGTGTATCTCTTCATATATTTCTAAATATATGGTGCATGTTTAAAGATAATTGCTGAAACTATGTAAATGTTGTGTGCTGTATTTTGAATCATTTAGGGAAACAAAATATATAGAAACAAAGCATTGTTGGTTTATAACCATAGCAGCAAGTTTGAGCTCATATGTCTGCCTTGCAGAATGAGCCACAGGCTGTAAGTGTCATGGTTTGGCCTGTGTTTTCTTTTTGTTTGAGTTCCGGCTGGAGTGGAGGGCGTTCCCTCCAGCAGCGCACCTGTCTCTCGTTAGCATCACTGGAACGTAAAAGCACTCCGACTTCAGCTGTACTCGGTTGGCTGATTAACCTTGCTCACTGTTAGGCTTCATGTGTTGTTTTCGAGACCTCTTGTCCATGCTCATAGTTTGCTCTTATCCGTATTGAATTCGTTTCGGAAGTATTCTGCATCGTGTTATTCCCTCTCGGTTTTGTTTTCGCGTGATTGAATTCTCTTGACATTTTTTTTCTAGTGTTTCAGAGTTTAATAGTACTTTGCCTTTTGCAAGCGCTTTTTGTTTGGTGAACCCCAGCCACCCAAAAAAAACAAAAAACGATTAAACTGAAATAAAAGAGGTGTTTTTATTATCTGAGTTAAATATTGCAATGGTACAAATATTTGTCCACAAAGCTATTTTTGAAGGTGGTAAATGAATTGTCTCTTTTGTTTATTTGTTTGTAAATTACTACAGTATTTGGTAATATAGTTTTGGGCAGTGGGGGGTTGGCTCCATTTTTCCTAACATTTGTAAACGAGTAGTTTGAGCAAGAGAAAAAAAACAAAAATAGACGTGGCTTAATTTAACTTTTGTCATTTTGTCACTTATCAGGGCTGTTGATTGTTACAGTGTGATGACACTCCAGGATGATAACAGAATAAGCAAAAAAAACAAACCAACATAAACATCTACTTCAGTACAGATTGAGAGTAGGCGACTTTTCCACGTCTGGGGGGGGGATGGGGATGGGGACATCCTTGACGGCATTAAATGTTACGACTTATTCGAAGGAGCTCATCCACCCCCACCCAACCTGTTCCACCGAGCACAACGCACCGATGCGTAAAACCAACCCATGATGCAACGGCAGAGGAGCAACGGCGGCCAAATCCGCGATCATCTCCAGTCGAGAGTTGACATCTTAGCGAGCCAGCAGGCTTGGAGAGTCACTTCACCCTAAATAGGTCGCGGTCGGGATCCTTGAGCCTCTCCGGTCTGCGTCTACGTGCGTAAAATGGAGCTGTGTGCGTGCGCTGCGCGGCGCGGCACACTTCTGTCACACACCGACGGACAAACTTGCTTTTAACGAGTGAAAGCTGCAGCGTGCATGGCGGCTTCTCCCGAAATGGTGATGTGAAGTCACAAGCGGGCGAGTCAGTTGCGCGGAGGAAGGATGCTGAGCGAGGCTGCGGGAGGACATTCAAAACAAGGTGCGAGACCACTACTGTATACAGCATTGTTTCTTTCAGATGTTGACGGCCTCGAGATGCTTTGTTGTTCTTGTCAATACCGTTTAACAAGTGTGGTGTCATTTTTAGTTACATTTTTTTAAAGTGTGCTATCGATGAGCTAAAAGAGGAGGTTAAATAAACAAATGAGAAGAGGAGAGAGATGGGCAAGAGAGGCAGCATGTATTATTCATAACTGAGCACACACACTGGCTAAGTGCACATCTTCTGGTGTTTGCTTAATTTTTTGTGCGTATGGGATGGAGTTTTTTGTTGTCTAATGTGGTGTGTAATGGAAGTGTGTGTTATTGTCCAAGATAAGAGAGTTTCTGTGTTGTGTGTGTGTGTGTGTGTGTGTGTGTGTGTGTGTGTGTGTGTGTGTGTGTGTGTGTGTGTGTTCACATTCACACAGATCGTTTTCCACATCATTCACGCTTGCCCAGGCGGAACATTTGCGTCTCGTCCTGTTATTATGTTGTGCACTAAGGCCACAAGCTTGGCTGCAAGCATGCCATCACACATGTAAACACACTATAACAGTACAATAGGCATGAACGATATCTGCATCGCACTCCAGAGAATGTTGGGACTGCTTTTTCTCCATAAACCATATTGTGTTCTACGCTTTGTTTCCTGTTCTACAAAAAAAGAATCTCTATTCTGCACATTTCCTTGGCTTACACCCACAACAACAATGCAGCCAATTTGCTACTCAAGTCCAAAGTCTGCTGCAGCTACTTTAGGGGATTTACATCCTTACTTTACCATTAGCCATTGTGGAATTCAGGCAAGGGTGCTTGCAGACACTTCGGGGTCTCAGGCAAGAAGGACCATGTATGGAAGATCCCCACTCACCCCCCCCCCCAAAAAAAAGAAAAAAAAGAGATGGTGAATAAGAAAAGACAACTTTAGTTCAATAGTTACTATCACTTTTTTTTTTTCATTTGTGTGTGCCGTGATTGATTCGTTTGCTTCATTTTATTTTCAGTGTTTTTGACAACATGCTTGTTAATTAGGGAGCTACCCAAATCCCTGCATGTCATAGTCATGTGGACGGTGGTTTCCACTAGTATTGTTGATTTCGACCAGGGGTGCTCACACTTTTTTAGCATGCGAGCTACTTACAAAATGACCAAGTCAAAATGATCTACCAATTATAAAACTGCAAAACAAACATTTATTCACAAATATAAACATATTGAAGAATGCCTCTTTCACTATCTCTCCATCTTGGAATGATTTCTTGTTCTTAACGTTGGTCCAGCACCCTCATACATTTTTAATCCCATAAATGTAGTTTCTAAATGAAACGATAACTCACGACCTTGCAAGGAAGGCGCCGTTGGGTGCGCATGTCTGTCTGTGTACGTCTGCGTCACGCGATCTATCCACACTAGCTTTGCTAGTCACTCTTAACAAAAGTAAAAATACTCACCTTTTTTCAGGCGTGACCAAAGTGGGGACAGGCCATAGCTGACGGACGTAATGCTTTGTAACATTCTTAACAGTTTATGCAAGTGTTAAAAGAAATAACACTAAACGCTGGGTAAAGCTATGGGTGCTCAATGAGCTGAAGTCTCGTGAGGTTTACTGGCATTTTTTGTGACTTGTTCCACGGTTCCATTGTGTACTAGTATTCCGGCAGGTGGAAATATGGTGTATATTTTATCGCATATTGTACTTCTTCAGCTTTGCTCGTAAAAGTGCCTCAGCGGACAAGGCAATCCGAATTCAGCGCTTGCATACGACCACTGCTTATCACTGTGGAGTTTGTTTTCCATTACGCGTTGATATGAGTGCGTGCGTGCATGCGAGTGTGAGTATGGGTGTGAGAGGGAGTGAGACAAACATTGAGCAGATGGTGATTTCATTGCACAGGATGGCAAAAGTGTGCGCACTGAATGTTGACAAACAAGAAGAACCTTTATTAAGCCAAGGTATGTTCCAATCGAAAAATCTTAGAGCACACCACCCAATAAAAATGCCACAAAAAGTGTATATGCTAAAATAATGAGGATCTCATTTGAATTTACTTACAAATTGACTTACTCAGTATGAAATCTGGGCCTGTTAACAATTATTCTGCTCTCCTTGATTTGAAGGGCAACAGAAGGATACAAACGCTTATTGTACCTTCTGTCATCTAGTGGATGAGTATTTTATAGTTCTGCTGTCACAACACGTAGGTGGCATAGAAGGTAAATTATACATTATTTGCAGTAATTAATAACACTGGTCAACAGCAAATTTGAATTCCAGATGGCTTAATATGTTCCTAAACATATTTGTGATGTTGATTTAGTTGAAATCAGTTAAGACGACGTGATGGTGCGCTCCTATGTGGGTGTGGCTAAGGCAGTATAAATACTGTCTCGAGATCATTTTGGAGAGGACAGAGATTCTTCCGCCATCTGGCAGAAAAAGACTCCATGGTTGTGTGTCACTCATTCCAGCATCCATTAACTACTAGTTCAATTGCGTTTATACAGTTTTCTGGTAGTTACTGTTCGTGTGGCGAGCATACAAGATCAAGGACTAGTGAAAGTTCCTCAAAACTATTTAAATGGTATCTGGCTCTCGGCACCGATTGAAATTCCGTTCCTGATCCCACTGCTACTGTCCATTTAATGTGCATTTTAGTCCCATTTGCATTGGATGACTGAGTCTTGTTTACTATTTTCCTATTCCATATTCTTGATCACACAAACTTGAAGTCGCACCCGATTCTGTTTTCTTCCTCAACTTTATCATTAAGCCTTGTCAATGTTTGTCATGTGTATTATTTCAACTTCCAGACCGCCTAACTCCTCTTGGACTGTAACAGTGTGAGCAGGATCACCATGGAGAGTCTTAGTGAGCTCCAGAATCCTCTTCTGGACAAAAGCAGCAAACACCTAGTCCAGGGTTACCGTGGCGACTACCCAAGCCACCACCAGGACGGCCTCGCGGGCTACCTCGACTGCGGGAGCCATGATGAGCACAAGTCTCAACAGTTCCTGGACGCCACCTCGCTGCATCTGGCGGTGGAAGCCTTCTACAAGCCCGACTTCATTGTGTGCAAGGACGACGTGAGCCTGCACAGCAAAGACTCCAAGAGCGAGAGCTTTGAAACCACCTTCACCGAGGATAAGGACGCGGCGCCGGGTGACGACTGCACAGAGAAGCAGCTGGGCAGCACGCAAGGGGAGAAGGACGTGAAGATCCAGACAGTGTCGTATGAGGTGGAGGATGAGCAGGCTCCTGATTATGAGGTCAGTCAGAGAACATCATGTCAAAACAAGAATCTAAAAAAATAGTCCGTCTGTATTCTCTCGTGCTTGTCCTCTGTTGCTGTTTCCCAACCTTTAGTGAGCCAAGGCACCTGTTTTTCAAATCTCATGCACAGCACACTGCCAAACAAAAATATCAGTATATCCAGTTTTTGTATGCTGTAGCTTTCGTATGATTTAGTTTTTAATGACCTTTCCTCAGAATGTTGTCCAATTGTCCTACATCGACTCGGTTATTGTACCAAAAATAGTGAGACTCAGCAATTTTTTTCCCCTGAATTTACACGCCAAAAACATGAATGTTAGATTTAGACTTCAAATTGTCTCATTGTGAATGGTTGTTTTTCCATATACTGTATGCCTTGCGAGTCCATGATGGACCCCGCCTCTCGCCTAAAAGTCTGCTGGAATAAGTTCCATCTCACCTGTCACCATAACCAGGCCCTAATGAATGGATTTCTCAAATAATAAAGCAAGAACAATACCTGACAGAAGAAGAAAAAGATGTCAAAAGTAAAATAAGTACGTTACTTTTCACAATCATTAGGGCTTTTAAAAAAATAGAAGTGCATTCAGTTCAAAGATCATAGGTAGAAGTGAAATGTCAGTTCCTAATGAGACAGTATTCATTTTTTTAAGTTCGCTGGCTGTCTTGGTTCACAGGGAGAGCAGAATACTGTGCGCAGAGTCAGTTAGTTCATTAACAATAAGTTATAAGGGGTCAGCCCAACTGCAGGCGGGCGGCCATGGGGATGTTTTGTCATTTACATTATTTTAACAACCTAAGAGACCAGCCGAGCCATTTGCACTCATTTCGCATTCCCTTCTCCTCAGAAAGGTCATTTCAATGCAAGTCTTTCAAGTTCGCTGTGGATTCACTGTGCTATATAATTGCCATTCGTGGTTCTCTCCGCCCGGCCTATTGTTCTTCGTGATGACTAGCATGCTCTTCAAATAAAAGTCACAAAAGCAAAGCAGCAAAGTCATTTCAGATGTGCTGGCAATCTCGTTTCAGTCACACGCCGTGATCAGAGTGCTCCTATTCCTCTGGCGCATCACATAGAGATGTGGCATCGCTACAAGTAATGCGGTTTGTGCCTTGTGTGTATTAAAGGTCCCTGGAGCAGGTGGCCACTGGCTGAGGTTATTCCCTGTCAATTCAACCGAGTAAATTCTTCAGACCAAGTGTGGCTGAGTAAAAGTTGCCTTTCCGCATTCTGGTGTGTCTACTGACCTTTATCTTCACCGTGCGATAGCACAGATAACTAACCGTTGATAGCCAACATTTGTAGTTCAGCTCAAAAAACATGAATGGTTAGATGGTATCGGCGTATAACAGGAGTGAGTAAACTTCTGTGCTCGAAGGCCAAATATTTGGGCCAATAAAAATATCCATCCATCCATCCATTCTCCAAGCCACGTAATCCTCACAAGGGTCGCGGGGGGGGTGCTGGAGCCTATCCCAGCCGTCTGCGGGGGACACCCTGAACCGGTTGCCAGCCAATCCCAGGGCACACAGACACGAACAACCATCCACACTCACACTCACACCTAGTGGTCAATCATCCTGCCATGCATGTTTTTGGAATGTGGGAGGAAACCGGAGTACCCGGAGAAAACCCACGCAGGCCCGGGCAGAACATGCAAACTCCACACAGGAATTGTGTGTGTAAAATAAGCTTATTTTCATTGCATCAATTTCCGACACCGCTTATCATGTACAGGGTAACGGGTGCGTGCTGGAGCCTTTCGCAGCAGACTTCGGGCGAAAGGTGGGCCGCATCCCGAACTAGTCGCCAGCCAGTCGGAGAGCACACATCGAGGCGAACAATTAGACACACCCAAATTCACACCGTCAATGAGTGGGAACCGATCCCTACACTGCCTGCACACAAGTGAGGCGAATGCACCACTACACCATCAGCGACTTTTGCTAATATATTTTCTGTATTTTATTCCAAAAACGTTTGTGATCAGTGACAATAAGATTGAGATACAGTACATCATTGAAAATGAAATAAAAACTAATACAGTACATCCACGATGCATTTTGACAAAGGAGCGGTCACATTAGCAAACAAATAAAGCACAGCGGGAGTGTGTCTCTCCAGTCTGTGTCAGTGGCCTCGAAATCATAGTCTCTCGGACCTTATCGAGTGCGGCTCACGAGATAAAGGTAAATTCGGGCTACTGGGTGCCCACTGCTTTATTCATGGGGTGTCAAATCATGAAGTGCTTATGAGCAGTCGCCGTGGTGATGGATCACAGCCGCCTGTCCAGGTGCGGCATGTTCATAAAGCAGATAACGGGGAGCCTCGTAATCTTGTCTTGGCACAGGGGCAGCTGTTGGGAGACAAGTCTGGATATTTTGTGCTTCCCTTCAGTGTCCCAAATAAATAAGACTCATAGTCACAAAGGAGCTTATTTATCTTGTAGTGGAATACAAGGGGACATTTGCTGGTTAGTATTATGGGAATATTGGCTGGCAACCAGTTCAGGGTGACCCTTGCCTACTGCCCAAAGAGAGCTGGGAGAGGCTCCAGCAGGCCCCGCGACCCTTGTGAGGAGAAGCCGATCAGAAAATGGATGGATGTGTTGTACGTATGGTTGGTGTCTTGCCAGCTCATTGAGAAAGCACACACAAACACGAGACGAATATGCAAACTCCACACATGGTGTCCGCAGCCGAAATTCAAACCCCAAACCTCAAAACTGGAAGGCATGCTGAACACCACCGTGCCCCCTCCTGCACAGTATAGAAGAGCCAATGAATGAGCTGTGTCAAATAATTTTTATTTATGAAATTCAATAACAATAATCAACTCATTTACTTCAGTAAACAGAAAAAAGTAAAAACTGTTAAATGAACTTGAATAAAAAGTAAAACAGATTTTTTCTTGTCACTTATATATCTGTTTCAATGACTTGGCACAATGGGAAAAGAAAACTTTTGTGCACATAATATATTTTCCGTTTTTTATTAACTTGGGCTGTGCTTTTACTGGGAAGAAGAAAAAAAATCACCGAAGACAGCCTTGCTACAAGCTAAACCGTGGCAGAATAAAACTAATAAAAGTAGAACTGACAACAGAGTCACGACAGGAGGAGTTATCGTGCGGGCAAAAGATCGACCCTAACGCAGGGGAGCAACTGGAGCCGGACTAACTGGACTAAAGAGGGCAAAAACTGATGAGGACACGGAGTTAAGTTAAATGACCATCATTTTTATTCTTTACTCTCTTCTTAGTTTTTTACATTATGCACAATTCTCATTTATTGTGCAATAATCTTATTGTAACATGTATTTGTTACATATTTTGATTTATTTTTATGCTTTATAACACATTTTTGTCAGAATTTGGGGGGGCTTGGGACAGATAAGAGCATTTACATGAAAAATGCATCTCTACTTCCAAAATTTTCTAGTTAAGAAATTTCATCCAATTAATTTTGTAAGTAGAGGTACCACTGTATCTGTTTTCAAACGTAGTGTGTGTGTCTGCAAAAATAAATACTCACCTGAAAATGTTTGTTCTTCATGACCTCCCACCAAATGTCTAATTCATAGGGTGACGTTGACCAATAACAATTATTAGTTGATTGTACACCATTTGAGGAGATGGCACGCCTGTGTTATTATATCCTGGAAGTGTACAGTATCCACTATATTTTGCTCCCACCTTGACTGATGGCCGCAGGCAGTGGAACTAATGAAAGCTGCTCTCTACTTTCCATTGGTGCGATCCTCCGTCGTTTGTGCAGAAGAGCTGAGCGAAGCAAAGGCTGCGGCCTCTTCAAAGGTCACCCGGGAATTCACGTCTACATCCTCATTTTGCTCACCTCGCTCGGATCGATGTCTGTCCGTCACTAATTAGCCCCACTCGGTCTTTGTGAGTCTTTGTGAGTATGACTGCACTGTATGTTGCCACAGAGGATGACGATGTGGGGGGGGAGCACGCCGAAGAAGCAATTTAGCACATGAATGGCACTGTCCTCTGCCGGTGTCCCTCTCACCTCACAGTGACGGAACAATCCGTTAATCCCCTTTATCCGTCAGCCCCCTCACGGCCAGTTGAAAGGCTCCAAATCCAGTCTGGTGTGCTAAGCGCTTCCTGCGTCGGTGGTCCAGGACACGAGAGACTGTCATCCAGCTACATCACTTACTACCTTGTCTTCAAGTGTCTTGACAGTGAATGGTGCTCATCACAGCGTAACCCAACACACCAGATTATTTTCAGATCACACCAACCGTTTTGTATGAGTGGGTCATTGTATTGATTGAGATTGCATGCTGGCTTCATCCAACATAAAAAAACATGCATTTTCAGCTCAGTGAAGACTCTAAGTCTAAATTGTCCAAAGTTGTGAATGTGAGTCTGGATATTTGTCTGTATGTGCCCTGTTTTTGACTTGATAACTGCACCTTTTAAATACATAAAACAACATAATTACATAAAAGGTAAAAGAAAAAAAAATCATCTGTATGTGCATCATGATTAAACGCTAACATTCAATTCATTGTACTGCTCTGTCTGGTGTGCCTGCCTTGGCTGTCATGAGGTAACATATTACTACAGTCATCCAACCACAAACAAAGAAGAATAGTACTTCTTCTTCTACTACTATCAGTAAGATGCTGCAAACACTAATTATTTTTCCGAGAGGATAAAGAATATATGTCAATGAAAAGGGTTATCTTATCTCTCCACGTGTTAGTTTCTTCTTAAACTGTGACAATCAGTGCTATCAATGCTTAGCATGTAAATGTAAATCTGACTTTCCCAAGGTAAAGCTGTAGTTCTTTTGAGTACACATTATGTAATTCTATTTGTTTTATGTTTATTTTGACAGTAAACTTCAATTGCTTGTGGCTTGAAGCGTCTTTTTTGATTAATTGAATTGTTTGCCAAAGTGGTGGTCAGTGTGACGTGAGTTGAATTGATTTGCGCTCGCGAGTCAAAGCAAAAAAATCGTCCGAATGATTGCTTGGGTCTCCAAACACTTGGGTACTCTGATGCGGTAATCAAACATCCTGTTCCTGTGTCTTCTTGCAGAGTGACAGCTCCAGTGAGAGCGAGAGCGAGGACAATTTCCTGGTGCTTCCTCCTCGGGACTACTTGGGCCTGACTATCTTCTCCATGCTCTGCTGCTTCTGGCCTTTGGGCATTGTTGCCTTCTGCTACTCCCACAAGGTATAGAGATGACCTCCAGCAATGGCATGACAGCCTGCTATTGCATTTCAGTTTGCTTTACTGACCCACATACCTATCCTCCCGTTCCGCTTGATTGATTACGTTATAGTGTGGACGGCGTTAACACTTAACAGCTAATGCTAGTGTGATGAATCGTGAGCGGTTGCGGCCATTAGTCACAACTTTGCAAATCACGGAGTACCGTGAGCGTTTCTCTCACAGTGACAATTACAACGGAGGGCATATTTTTTCATAGCTCACAAAAACACCCAAACAAACCATTCGTCACTGTCAGAGGCCTGACCTAATTGCCATGGCAACAAATGGCAGAGAGAGAGAGAGAGAGAGAGAGAGAGAGAGAGAGAGAGAGAGAGAGAGAGAGAGAGAGAGAGAGAGAGAGAGAGAGAGAGAGAGAGAGCTTTCTTGCTTTCTCTCTGCTCACCGTAGCCCAAAACACCTACTCACGCACTTGGTGGATGATGACTAACTCATTTCACTCTCTGATTTTTATTTTATTTATTTATTTGTCAGACCGGCAAGGCCGTCGCTAAGGGAGACTTCTCCAGAGCGGGAATGAGCTCCAGGAGAGCACTTTTCCTCGCTGCTCTTTCCATTACCATCGGCACAGGAATGTACGTGGGGGTGGTGGTGGCCCTCGTCGCCTACCTGTCCAAGCCTGGACATGTATAACACTGACAAATGGGAGGAGGAGGACAGACTTCACCATGCCCGTGGGCTGCTGGGTGTCGAATAATAAGAGTAAGGGAAGAATGAGAAGTGATTTCAAAATTTTGCGGACCCTGAACTGATTTTGAGTTTTTGAGATGGATCCTTCCTAAAAGAAGAAATCTTTCTCAACTTCATCTATAATTGATGTATTCCCTCATCGATACAGTTGCAGTGTCAAAAATTAGCTTTTATATTGTCCAGATTGAGAAAAAAAAGCACTCTATATAGGTTGTGTTTGTCTAGACAAAAACTGCTGAGCAGTGGTCATTTGTGTTTATTCTGTACTGTACACCAAATTAAATAAACAGTTTTGGCATGAATAATGAAACGAGACGACTACAAATGTCCTTCATCTTCTCCTCCTGGTACACATGTGATGTCAATGGCTAATTGTGGAGATGTGTTGTGCAAAACTGTTTACGCAATGAACAAAATGTTGCACATTAATATTAACATATTCATTAATATTAATTCTCGAAAAAGAGAGAAGCAGAGGCTAAAAAAAAAGAACTGAATACAGTAGCAACTCCCTCGTGCACTTTTAACATGTTTACACATTTATACAGCACACCTTTTAAACACTTTTGTATAAAATATTTGAAACTTAAAAAAATGAATTTCAAGCATAAACGATTGAGAAAATTCTGTCCATATTGCAGTATTTGTGCATGCACATGTCCCTTCTAGAGGCATTGGCGAGTCCGCGTGTGAGTGTCTGGTGAGAGCTTTGGCCAACAGCAGTTTCTGCATGAGTGTGCTCTGAGTGTGTTTGTGTTTTAATTTTCACCCAACGTTCAATAAATAGATGACAAGTGCATTGGCAACTGTGGCTTGGCTCTCCTTTCCCACGTGTAAAGGCATCACAGTAAGTACACCGTATAAAATCCACTTAATGAAAAAAAAAAATCATTACTGAAACACGAGTGTGTGTGATGTCTGTCTGTGTTTATGTTTTCAGCCCCAGCTGGATCGAAGGGCATTTCCCTCCATCATGAGCCTTGTATTTCAGGACACCGACTTCGGCTACTTCTTGTCGGATTATTGACCTTGTTCGCTGTTGTGCTCCGAGTGTTTATTCTTGAAGAAGTATTTGTTTTTAAATGGTAATTTAGTTTAGCTTAAATGCAATATTTATCAATTGATTCTTTAAGTGCAGTACAAGTGTGGTGCAAATGGTCCAATCGATATGGTCAATGATATTAAATATGCTTTTTAGGAAAAAAACTTTACAACACAAAGCAAATTTTATGTACAGTATATATATATATATATATAAAAAATATATTCTGTGTGTGTGATATATAAAGTGGTGGCTCTGTTTTTTTATCCAGATTCTCACCATAATGTAATGGGTTTCTCCAACCCGCTATAAAATGCTTTGGAAATTGTTGGACTGGTTTGTGGGTATCTCTGCTCACTCTGAATGTCATTATTTTTGTGAAGACATTTTTACCCTTGTCTTTGGTTGCTGCAGTGTGCTTGAGACATTTTCGATGTCCATCACGCTGATATGATTTGCTATTGCGGGCGCTGCCGTCTCTCTTTTGGCATCACTCACTGTCACCGCTTGAGGTGACTTTTGCTGCCAAAGTGAAGAGTGCCTCAGGAAAAATAACTGCTCTCCGCAGTTAGGATGTCAGAATGCACTTTCTTTCCTTCCGCCAGTTGGACTCATATTTGCATTTTTGCACCAACTGACAGGCAGTCACAAAATTTGCCTTTGAAAGTACAACACAAAGAAAAGAATTGAAATATTTTCGAGATATCAATAACATTACTTTCTCGATACAACGAAGACACCTCACAATATTTATACTGCACACATGTGCGATGTTTACCTAAACCTCAAATGAATTACCAAGGAAAATATTTTACATTTCTTGGCAAAAAAGCATTTTGATTCATATTTGCTGTTGTTCAAGTTGCTGATGGTGTAGTGGTACACTTGCCTGACTGGTGAACGGTGCCCATTCAGCGATGGCGTGGATGTGGGCGTGAATGGTTGTTCATCTCTATATGTGCCCTGCGAATGACTGCCGACCAGTTCGGGGATGGATGGTTGGATGGAATAATGGATTTGCTGTAGTAAATCAATCAAGGTCTTATGACTGGTGACTTACAAGTTGAGTTGAGTTCAGCTCTGGTTCTGTGTCTATGGTTATCTTTTTTAATCACTTAGCACCTGTATTTGATGGAATTAATGTACATCAAGTTGTCCCATATTTACTCTTATATTACGACAAAGCAGAGTGCATCTACATTATATTCTTTGGATTGAAGACTTCACCAACACTCTCAGACTGAAATCAGATAAGCTCTGAAGAGTGGAAATGGCTACCTTGAGACGGCGCGCTCATGCCGAGCTTGCACAAATGAGCTCATGAACTCCTCTCAGCACAGAAGTGCATTCTTTCTGACCAGACATCATCTTTCTGTGGACTTCCTATATATATATATATGGGTGGTCCAGTGGTTAGCACGTCGACCTCACAGTATATATATAATTCATCACTTGATCATCACTAGTTACTGTACAAAAAAAAAAAAAATCTAACCTATTGCTGGGTTGCAAAAAAAGTCCAAATTAGAAGGGGAAGACTGCGTTTCCTTTAAACCTTCAGTGGGGTTCAGTGCGCCTTAAAGAACAGTGTGGCTGTCCTCTGCTATATTCCGGTTGTCATCTGCAAACAAGCGTGAAATGTGACTCGGGAGGGGGGCGAGAGTAGCGCTCACATCAGCGGGAGCTCAACGGGGCACTGGAGTGCGCTTGTTCGGCCAGCGGAATGTTTTCTCTCCCTCGGTGTTGTGGATTCAGGGGGAGGCTTCACCCACGCTTGCTCGGTTGCTCCTATTAGTCATCCACCCCCGAGTGAACACAACACATGCATCTGCACAGTCAGATCACAACCTCTGCAAATATATAGGAGCGGCACAGCGGGGCCTTAAGCCTTGGTCGGATTCCAACGTTGAAAATGTGATCATCTTGTCTGGTTTTAGTCAAATGTAAGTCAATAATGTGTGAAAAGTAAAAAGTCTCAAGTTTTAATCATCTAAAAAGCGTCAAGTAATTCCGAGGTTACGACGGGAAAAAAAATCAAGCAAGTCAATTCCCCTCTAAATTTGCAAGCAAGTCAAATCAAGTCATGACTTGGTTCAAGTAAGTCACATGACAAGTCATACAATCTTGCTGAGGCACAACAATTTCAGTGGTGCCTTGACCTGACTTCTGTGTTTTTTATAGATTCGCCCCGCGACCCTTGTGAAGATGAAGCGGATCAGAAAATGGATTGATGGATGTATTTAAAGGGGAAATCAAGTCAAACATAGAGTACTTTTTAAGAACATGTTCTATGAGCCCCCATTAGTCTCATCCTGGCATTCCAAGGATTGCGTTTGTGCAATATGAATTCAGCGGCAAAGTCAACCAATTTTTTTCCATCTAAGTGTAGCAGCCATTTTGCCACTTGATGTTCACTGAAAATGACATCACAGTTGATAAGGGCCTGAGGGCTCATATAATGACCAACTCACCTGTTTTCTGGGCATGGTCATGTGACATTCGCAAGCTGAGCCCACTGTTGTGAAAATGCACATTGGTCAATGTCAACAAGCCAGACTTGCAAAGTTTTGCAATTCAAGTTAGTCGTGTTTCATGAAAACTCAGTTAACTTGAGCCTTTCATAAGTTTTAGTCAAGCAAATCCCAAGTCCTGAAACTGGCGACTTAGCATCTGACTAATACGACACACAGTGCGACACCTCAATAATGACAGCCATTAGGGAAGAAGAGGAAAACAGTGATGAATGTGCCGAGGTAAAGTTGATAAAGAGGAAAAAGCACTCACTGGAAAGAGGAAATGAGATTAGAGCTGAGTGCTACATTTATAACGAGCACGCTGCTGTTGACTGTTCACTCGTCCGAAAGGCATTCCCTTGATTCCTGTCACTATTCAAATGAAATACCTGTCAGCCAGCCCGAGGACAACATGCGCATCAACAATACGCTTGGCTTGTTGCAAACTGCTGCACAGCTCAATTCATCGCATTGGTGGTTTTAAATTAAAACTCAGCGTGAACGCTCAAAGCTGCCAAATATCCTGATGACTTTCTTATCAAGAGAAGCGCATGACTTTTCGCAGTTGTTGGGGATATTATTAACTGTAGACCATCCATCCATTTTCCGATCTGCTTTATCCTCACATGGGTCGCGGGGGGTGCTGTAGCCTATCCCAGCTGTCTTCGGGCAGTAGGCGGGGGACACCCTGAACCGGTTGCCAGCCAATCGCAGGGCACACAGAAACGAACAACCATCCATGCTCACAATCACACCTAGGGACAATTTAGAGCAGGGGTGTCAACGTCATTTTTGTCACGGGCCACATTGTACAGTAGTTACGGTTTGACTTGGAGGGCCGTTCTGAATTTTGGGAAACCATATAAATGTTTAATCACCTCCCCATATTACATACACAGTGCATAACAAATTGATGAGTAACTAGTTTCTAAAATCCAAGTCAAGAATAATGACTGTTATTATGGATTACATATGACAATTTGAAATTTTGGTTCAGACTTCAGCAAGCATCATGGAACTTGACATGCTTGATTTGCTTTCGCGGGCAATGTAAAATGATGTGTCGGGCCAGATCTGGCCCCCGGGCCTTGACTTTGACACCTGTGATTTAGAGTGTTCAATCAGCCTGCCATGCATGTTTTTCGAATGTAGGAGGAAACCGGAGTACCCGGAGAAAACCCACGCAGGCACGGAGTAGAACATGCACATAGGGAGGCCGGAGCTGGAATTGAACCTCTGCACTGTGAGGTCGACGCGCTAACCGCTGGACCACCGGGCCACCATTTATTGTAGTTCAGCGGCCAATTGGTGAGCACAGTGGTGGGCACATTTTTGTACTCGAGGCTCATAATTTAATAACCGGAGTACCCGGAGAAAACTCACGCAGGCACGGAGGAGAACATGCACATAGAGAGGCCGGAGCTGGAATTGAACCTCTGCACTGTGAGGTCAGCACGCTAACCGCTGGACCACTGGGCCGCCATTTATTGTAGTTCAGTGGCCCATTGGTGAGCACAGTGGTGGGCACATTTTTTGTACCAGAGGCTCATAATTTAACTTTCAAACAGATGGACTGGGTCAGTGGTTTTAAACCTATTTCAGTACCGCCATCAAGACCAACTATAGTAGCATACTAGCCCGAAGTGTATATTTAAAAAAAAATAATAATAAAAAATCTCCAATTTTGTTCCTATTTCACACTGCTGTAAGCCACTGTAGCATTAGGCACAGTGAAGGAATAATGATGTATTTTAGTTATC